TGGTGGTGGTGGTTAGCAGTGGATGGGAAACGAATATAATGCTCCCTTTTAGCAGCGTCTTCTGGCTGCTTTATATTTCGCAGGCGCAAAGTAATGACTTTGCCGGTGGCCAACGATAGAAAATTAAAATTCAGGATTGACTCCGAACCAGAAATAGCAACGACAACAACAAGCTAAAACACTGGATATCAAAGTAGACCATAGAGCGAGCAGCAATAGTAAGAAGTAGAAATAGATGAGGAAAGTGAACTCATATAAAGACATGAATCTCCTCACCTGCATTCTGGTTTTTACCACATCCAATGGAGTGTTGCCGTAGACTGAAGCGGCGCCAGCCAATATACCGAACAGCCCTGTTACCAGCTTCGGGACCGGTTGATTTGCTGTGGTGTCGCCGCGGTAGCCCCGGTAAAGCTCCTTCATTGTCTCCATAACGAAGAAGCGTATGGCCTGATTTGTGCCCTGTTTGAAGATCGTGGGCGTGACACCCTTATACAAACCGCCGAGTCCTAGAAGTAGTCAACAGCGCAAGAATTTAACCTCGGCGAATACAGTGAGGTGACTGGACTCTGAACGAATTCCTCTTCACAGTAGAAGGCGTTAGCAGTGAGCGGCATGCGCCAGGCAAGGAGTAGCCAGCCATGCGTATTGGCATTACCAATGCAAACCGATAAACAGTAGCAAAAGATGAAAGGATGCAAGCATACTGGGCACAGTTCTGATGCTCCTTACGAACGCGTGCAGGGGCATCCAATGCGGGGACGTTGGACCACTGCACGCCGTCAAAAACTGGCATAACCACAATAGGGGGAGGGGCGGGGGGTGAAAGGTCCGAACTTAGCAGCACATAACACACGTCTTTAGGCAGCACCGGGGGCAGTACGTACCTGAACGAGCAAGTAAAGACTAAGCAACCATGTCCATCACAAGTGTCCACTCGTACAGACAGTAACTTTCACAGGCGGCCCTAAAATCTCCCATAATGACCTGGACGATGAAAAATGTTCAAACATGTGGAATTTATCCAAAAAAACATGGAACAATTTCTAGCAGGGCAAAAGATGAAAACTCGCACAGTTAGGAAGCCAGGGATGCCGGAGGAGAGAGCGAACCAACGACCTACCAAATGCTTGTCGGGTGATCCACCTGCTGAGTTACTACCACAAGTACGCCCTTCCGTCAGCGCATGCTAACAACTATTTCCTGTTTTTGACTCGCACAGCTGACTTGCTTTACAATCTGATCAATTATTCTGCAGAGAATTCAAGGTCAACCTCGTGTGGGCAGAGGATAAGTAACAGAGGTAGCAAGAATAGCACTTGCCAGTACGCCAGGCAGTTGAAGAAATGAATGAGAAAATTCGCGTTGCGAGTATTTGCGTGGGTAAAGGAGCAGTCTTGTCGAGCACCGGTATAGTTAGTTTATTGACCTGAGCTTTCAGCCCTGCACGGTCACGTGTAGTCACGTCCAGACGTGCGGGACAAAAAAGTTTGTTGGTGAAAACCCCCCTATAATTGCCGCCTTTTTGTTGCTCTTTCTTACCTCAGAGGACGAAATCCTGTAAGGGGTTGAAAGCCCAGGGCGATAAATCAAGCCAAGCCTTCTCCTCTATTCAGTTGAAAACATCGACGAAGTCTGTAGAAAAAGAAACTACGAAAACGCCGAAAATTCAGGCGACCACAAACGATGTGCGATTGGTGGATTTATGGCACACTTTCTGGCCATGTAAGTTTATTTGGATCATAGTCTACTTCAGCGAAAAAATCATTTTACTGAGATTAAAAACGGCGCGGAGCACCTGAGGAATTCGTAAAATCACTTCACCCTTTCTTGAAGCTCCTGATTGAAATACCAAAAAATACCTTATTAAGGAGGCAATAAGAAAAATATAAAAATAGATAAATCATATGATTTTTCAATAAACATTTATTAGAGTTCTGCAAAAATAAAATCATATAGGCAGTGCAGAGCAGGTATGCACTTATATTTTCTAATAGGTAACTTTGTGAAAAACATCAACCAAATCCAGAACTCATTGCTCAGCAGATAATTGTACGCAAAACATCCAGAACTACAGTCTTGCGAAGTCTTCCACCTCAAATTCATTCGATTTATAGCCCCCTCGAGACCACTGTTCAGACAATTCAGGACAACGATATGCTAACATGCGCCAGAAACGTACGCAATTCATGGAAATTACGACACCGCGTTAAGATAGCACTGCTGTTAAACAAGATAACCGGAGATGACATTTAAAGAGCTCCTTCAAATATGCTGTTACCTGATACTGCGCAAGCCGTCAACTTAGGCAACAAGCCTTAATAATAGTGAGCATATCG